AAAGCTCTTATCTCAGGCAACTTAAGCTTTTATCTGTGGCGTTAACTTAAGCATTTTATCCTGAAAATGAAGACAGAAAACAGTGACTGTCCATTAATGAGCTCTTCCAATGACTCAACAGTAAAAATTGAGCTATGTAGCATGGACACTGTTAAAGAAGTAGAACAGTTGAAAGCTGTTGGTGAAAAATGCGATGTGCAAATTGACATAGAAACTCTGGAATGTAAGTAGACTTCTTGTTAGTACTTTCATCAGTAAATGGAATTTAACTGGTTATATTTTTTTGTGAATTTTAATTCAGGGTTGGTTTTTTATTATTTAAATCAATTTTTTTGATGTCATTTGGCAGGCAGAATCTTATTCGACCCGGAACTCACCTAGTTTATATACCTTGACCCCGGGTCACTCTTCAACCTGCATCACATGCTCAGTTTTTAGACCATTCATTGGTCAAAACTTCCAATGACGTCATTTGAGCACAAGTGACTGCATACGTGTTGGTTGCAACATTCCAATCAAAACATTGTTTTGATTGACTATTTATCTTATGACATCCAACTGGGGTAGATATAAAGTACACTTACAAAATGTACTATACTGCAGCCACGGTGTGATGTAAGTTAAACAGAGGTTCAGGACCTTGGTATATGAAGGCATGGGTAAGCATATGTGAGCATAAGCATAAGCAATGGTGTCTTAGGATTGTACATCAGGATTTATAGTGTCAATTAGCTCCTGTGCATTATAACGTTATGGCAAAGATGCACACTAGCATCTGTAATTCAACAGAAATTGAATGCCCCAAAAAAGTGTTGGGCCATATTCTTCTTGACTCAAATTACATGAAGTAACAATGCTAACAGTGTCACCATTACCATCAGTTTCTTACTCTGCTTGTGCTCTATTAGTCCCAACACACTTCTTGAGCTTTCATTCTTGATACCAGTCCTTGATTTTGCATATGCTCGCTAACCTGAAGGTCCAGGGTTCAATCCCGGCATAGGTCGAGATGATACCTTTGGATTTTTCAACCCGGTTTCCCCCTGTCAGTGATGCAGGTAAGAGGGACTGACAAGGAAAAAGTGTCTAGTCGTTCGGATGGGACAATAAACCGAGGCCCTGTGTGCTACAGGCTGTGCACGTTAAAGATCCCTTGACAGTTGGAAATCGAAAAAGAGCAGGCTAATGCTGCTGCCCTGGCAAAATTTCCCTCATTGCACCCTGCATGGCGTTGCCCGTCTTCATTAGCCCACATGGTGCAGAAAAGTAGGACGTAAAACTCCATTCATTTCATTATATTTGAATTTCCATATGACATTTAGCACCAGAGGTTTTCCCACTCTTAAGTTTTTTTTTATTATACGCCCACATGGAAATGTGGATGTATATTGTCGCCGCCATTGTCCGTCTACATGTGCACGATAGAGGCTACTGCTTTTGTTTGATCTTGATGAAACTTGGTATGCATGTTTATATTGATGAGATCTCTGTTCTGTTTGAAATTGGTAATAATTGGATAAATGGTTTCAGAGTTATTACCCTTGAATTAATACAATGCGTCAAATTTGGTTTGTCGGCAAGAGTTTTTATCCGATCTTGAGGAAACTGGTGCATTAATATATCGATGAGATGTTAGTAAAGTTCGAAATTGGTAATAATCACATGAGTTATTGCCCTTGTGTGTACAGCAATGAGACATTGTTCATGTTTTAATTTGAAGGTATAATTTAACGTACTGATTTTGAGGCCTTATAAATATTTCACAGATTGAAAATTCATTATTAAGCCACTACAGACTTTGTTATTGTTTCTGACAGCTGGTTGTGGGTGTATGTTACCTTGTCTGGCAAGCTATCTTATTAAAAAAAAAAGTCACTGGCTGGATCTTGCTTTCTGTCTGACGTTGTAATCTAAAATAGCTTGTTCAAGCATGTCTGCTTTTTTTTTTCCACCTCCACTGACTGGAGAGCA